CAGTAGATATTGAATTCATTGACAGCCTTCACTAGTCCCGATACTATACAGTAGATATTGAATTCATTGACAGCCTACACTAGTCCCGATACTATACAGTAGATATTGAATTCATTGACAACCCTCACTGGTCCTGATTCTATACAGTTCAGGATTATTCAACGACGACCAATGGTAACATGTCTACATGTAAACATACCACAATGTTCTTTTTGAGGATGTATTCAGTGACGACCCCAGCAAGCCCGGAAACCGTACAGTAGATGAGCATCATGACTAGACCAATTACGGTCACATGGATATCTCCAGCAGTTTTCACTTCCCCCTTATCTTGTAGTCCACCATAGCTGCAATATAAATGAATTTCATATCAGAAAATTTCTATTTCCAATTCTCGGAATTAAAAAATATCACATAAATCATAAAAAAAACGTTAACATTTTCCGTGAATAATAAAACTTTTCGTGTTCAGACAGTACCTCATTTATCTTGCAATAATAAGTCTGTGCCTGCAGGTAATAAGCCTATATGACAACAACTGCTATTTCTTTGTACTGTTAAAAAGTCCATCTCCTTTTTTTTGAGTCAAGAGATTGTGTGTTGTCTGCCTTGGCTTGTTGCAGGATAATTATGGCAGTCATATATATACTGTGTGTCACACACAAGTACGGTACTGTAAGATCTCACAAGATCAGTTAAACCAGGTACATGTATCACCTACCTATTACAAAAGCCAGCAAATGTAAGAATTCCAACAGAAGTCCACTGGTTAAGGGATAAATTTCTGAAAAACAAATTTCAAAATCAGATTAGATGGCTAAATGTATTAGGTTCGTGCTCACAACCTTAAGTCTACAAAGATGTACAAACATTATCTATATTGTATAACAGGCTACACAGAGTTTTATACTATACATTATCTATCTTGTATAACAGGCTACATAGAGTTTTAGACTATACATTATCTATATTGTATAACAGGTTACAGAGTTTTAGACTATACATTATCTATATGGTATAACAGGCTACATAGAGTTTAAGACTATACATTATCTATATTGTATAACAGGCTACACAGAGTTTTAGACTATACATTATCTATATTGTATAACAGGCTACA